GCACACAAGATAGGATATTGGACTGATGTGATTTACCTCCTGGCTCTGATACTACCTAGCTTGGTAGATGGGACACTATATCTAAGATGCTTAGAAACAGATATAAGATATAATTAGATATAATTAGACTATTATTGCGGTTGCTTTGTACATATTTGAATGAATGAACGAGTGAATAGTTCATCAGATTGCCTAAGCAGACTACCTGCATAGTGACAGATTTGGGCATCCCATGAAACTTGCTAGGCTTAGTTCTGTCAGAAGAGGGCAGCTTTGAACCAGGCATCTCAATTTACTAAAAGCTATCTGGAATTACGGACCTCTTTGAATTTATACCTCCCTGTCTTGGAAGGCCAGTTTCAATAGGTTGGTTCTTATCCAGGCCGTTCCAGCTTCCAGGGGAAGTTCAACATCTTGCAGGCCATATTGCCCACCACAGAGGTGGGGGGTGGTGACTGAGGGCTGTAACATCCTCCAGCTCATGGGTGATGAACTGAACCCTCTGGCCTGCTCTTTTCCCAGAGAAAAGGGGAGAGAAGTGAGGACATCTTACTAATATAATTCCAAGGAAGAGGATACTCCAGGGTCCTGGTGACCCCCTACAGCCACTGCATACAGAGCATGCTCTTTGTCAGCCCTTCCCTTCTCCCCTCACCCCCACCTCCCCATTTCATCCCTGAAGGATAATTCAAATCCCACAGACCCTTCAAGGTCCACTGGGCCTCCTACTCCTGAGCCAGGGTAGTAGGTATTTCAAACCCATGTGGTCATTTGTATCTCTTTTAAGGTCCTCCCACTTTCTGCCTGGGATTATACAGTTAAACTATATATTTATCTTATTATTTCTCTTATTAAGCTTTAAACTTCCTGGAAGCAGGAAGTGCATTCTTAATCATACCTCAGGATTCATCTTAGATGTGTCTGAGACCTGCCTCACCCTGGCGTGTCCTTGCGCTCCTCATCTGTGCTCCTGCACCCAGCAGGACACATGATAGCAGTTTTCACTCTGAGCTGCTTTTAGATCCCCTTTTACAACCCTGGACACACACACCCCCAACACACACACACACAGCACCCACATACAAGTTGTTTTTTTTTTTTTTTTTAAATTTTTTTAAATTTGTTTTTAATATTTATTTTTTAGTTTTCGGCGGACACAACATCTTTGTATGTGGTGCTGAGGATCGAACCCGGGTCGCACGCATGCCAGGCGAACGCGATACTGCTTGAGCCACATCCCCAGCCCATCACATACAAGTTGTAAGGACAAGACAGAGGCTTATTCTTGATTATCTTCCCAGTGTGTGCATAGTAGGCCCAGTGAGGCAGACAGGATTGAGAGGGGCTCAGCTCAGCCCAGACATCCCAGCACATGATGCAGGAATTCCCGGAAAGCCTTGCCAGTAGCCATTCCTGTCTGGCATTCTTACTCTGCCATCAAACAGGTCTCCCCATAAGGAATGTGAGAGCCGAATTCCAGCAGCTAGGATCATTTCCGAGCTGCACGCTGTTCCGGAACTGCATCTGTTTGTTTGCTTCCCTTGCTACCTGCTGTGAACAGTCTGCAGCCAAGACTCATCTAAAGCCTAGTCTGTTGGCTCCTGTGGGCCACCAAGCTGCACCTTGGCTTGAGCCAGGGAGATCTCTTTTCTCTGGGGTCTTTGGTCATCCCTGGTTTGCCACCTAAATGGGGATTCAGATTGTAGCAAAGGAAACTAAAGTAGGGATAGGGAGGGTTGGAGAGGTAGCAAATGATTTGTCCCCTCTGCTATTACCAGTTCAGCTGGTACAGGAGATCCGCTATTTGTAGGTATTCTCACTTTAGTCTTTTGATTCCATTGCTCATCCATTCCTTTGGTCCATAAGCGTCTATGATTGAGTGTCTTTTGTATGCCCAGCCATGCATGAGATGTTGGGATACCTGAAAACATTCATCAGTCTACATTAAGTCTGAAAGAGAATCTTGGGTTATTTGCATGATTCTTTATTTTTCTTATGAGGAAGAAAACAAAAAAATTTTAATGAGGAAATGTTGATGCAGTTGGCCAATTACTATATGTCCTTAATGCCTCTGCTCTAAAAGCTCTGTTTTCAGGAAGTACCTCCTGACTAGTCTCCTCCCATCTGGGCTAGGGACTCCTGTTATTATACATCCCAAGGTCATTCTGCTCTTCCCCCATTATGGACATGTCTCCCTCTGTAAAGGATGTGCTTATCTCTCACTGGACTGAAAATTCTCTGAAGGAAGAAGCTGTGTCTATCTTGTCACCATGATATCCCAGGTCAGCACCTAGTGGGCCCAACTTTCATAGAATGAGCGAAGTGAGTGGTAGAAGGTCATAGAACTGGCTCATGTTGGGGCTGGGGATGTGGCTCAAGCGGTAGCGCGCTTGCCTGGTGTGCGTGCGGCCCGGGTTCGATCCTCAGCACCACATACCAACAAAGAACTGGCTCATGTTGGTCAGAACTAGAACTCAGGTCGCCCAGCACTCAGCCCTGTGCTAGCTCTTATGTTACCTGTGCTGGCTCTTCGGAGTCCTAATTTGTCCAGATGGGTCCCCAGGAATGCACACAGACCTCACTGGGGAAAGGAAACAGCAAGCTAGAGAAACTCTCTCAGACTCATTCTATTTTCACAGATAATCCAGAGCAAACCAGATGCTTGTAGAGAGAAGGTGCCAAGTCAGCTACCACCTCCTGCAACTCTTCAGGTTTAGGGGAAGGAGGTTGTTTTTCAGCATAAGGTGGATTTTGTCCTGCCACAGAGAGAGACAATGAACTCCAGGAAGGAATAGAGATGATCATAACTTGCACTACAAAACGTCAGTGGAAGCAAGAAAGTGGGCAGACAGTAAATACAAAATTCAGCAACTGGGGATTTAGTTCCTCTTAGTCCTTGGTGCCCTGAATATGCAGCTGGGACACCACCCTCCTGGAGAAATGAGGGGTATGCTATCTTCTCAGCCCAGTTGGAATCCGGTCAGGCTTCTGACTGTTTGCAGAGAAGGGGACCAAGGACCCCTTGGCCTCCTTTCTTCTCCCACAGTCCAGGGTCCAAATCCCAGTTCTGCTGCTTTCTCACCAGTTGTGTGGCCTTTGACATAATAATACTTTATAGAACTGGGTTATCAAGAAGCCTCCCTTATCCCTCACTTAGAGAAGGAGGAGGAAAGCCTGTGGATGTTCTCATTTCACTATAAATGGAGATGCTGAAGGCTGGGTTGTAGCTTGGTGGTAGAGTGATTGCCTGGCATGCATGAGGGACTGGGTTCAATGCCCAACACCCAGGAGGAAAAAAAAAAAGAGGTAAATGGAGAAGCTGGACTTAGCTAGCCCTCCAGGCCTCAAAAAGCTGAGGCTGGGGATATACCTCAGTTGGTAAAGTGCTTGCCTAGCATGCATAAGGCCCTAGGTTCAATCCCCAGCACCACACCACACACACACAAAAGAAGCCAAGCCTCATGGTCAGACCTCCTGATTTTTTTTAAATATTTTTTTTTAGTTGTAATTGGACACAATACCTTCTTTTTAATTTATTTTTATGTGGCACTGAGGACTGAACCCAGGGCCTCACACGTGCTAGGCAAGAGCTCTACCAGAGCCACAACCCCAGCCCCCTGATTTATTTTACTTATTTATTTATTTATTTGTTTGTTTGTTTATTTTTTGGCACCGGGAATTGAACTCAGGGGCATTCAACCACTGAGCCATATCCCCATCCCTATTTTGTATTTTATTTAGAGACAGGGTTTCACTGAGTTGCTTAGGGCCTCTCTAAGTTGCTGAGGCTGACTTTTGAACTCTTGATCCTCCTGCCTCAGCCTCCAGAGCCATTGGGATTACAGGCATGTGCACCACACCTGATGGTCCTCCTAATTTTAAAATCACAGAAAATAAATGAGCCTAGTCTTGTTGGCACACACACCTGTAATCCTAATAGTTGGGAAGGCTGAGGCAGGACAATCACAGTTCAAAGCCAGCTTTAGCAACTTAGTGATGTCCTGAGCAACTTGTCATGACTCTCTCTCAAAATAAAATACAAAAAGGGCTGGAGATGTGGCTCAGTTGGTACCAGTTCAATTCCTGGTACCAAAAGGAAAACGAAAAGAAAGAAAGGAAGGGGTAAAAAATAGAAGAAAGAAATTAAGAAAGGAAGGAAGGAAGGAAGGAAGGAAAAAAAAGAGTAAGAAAGAAAGAGGAAGGAAGGAAAGAAAAGAAAAAAGAAAAAAGAAAGGAAGGAAGGAAGGAAGGAAAAGAAAAGAAAGAAAACCTTGGATGAGGCAGCTTCATAGACTTAAGGATACAGGTTAAATAAGAAATAGGAGTGTAATATAGTTTTCATGAATGTTTCCCTTTTGGTTTTCTCCACCTCCTGCCAGGTCTCCATAAATTCCACCATATCTTGAGGGATCCACGCAACACTACACGTTCTCTTTGATGAAGAGGTAAGAACTTTCCAGGAGCGTTGGATTCCAGGATCTAATTAAGGCTGACCTAACTGAAGACAAGCCCTCCACCAGTCCTCCCACTTGGCTAGAGTCTGCTACCCTTCCATCCCATCCCCCTTTCTCCTTTTGGACATAAGTGGTCAAGCGACTTTGGCTTGGGAGAAGCAAATTACTCAGGATAAAGAAATACTTTGGTGACCTCTAGCGCCCTCAGATTGCCGCCTCGCCAACTGAGAACACAGCACAATAGAACAGGTGGTTATAACCAAAACCAAGCGCTGCTCAGAGGCAAGGGCCATTTCGAGGGCCTTCAAAGCCGAGTTCCAGATTTCAGTAGTACCAACTGGCCAAGCAGCCTCCACAGGCTTTCCCTAGTTCCCATTCCTGTCCCTCCGGGCCCAGGTGGGCGGGGCTCCATTGACACCTTTCCTGGCTGCGCAGCGGAGAGAAGGCGGTGTCGGGGGCCCGGGCGAGCCAATGGGAGAGGCCCTAGTCACGCGCCGTCGGCAAGCAGACCAATGAGATTTGGGGGGCGTGACCAGAGCCTCTGGCATCGGGCGATTATAATAACTTGGAATGCGGCTCTTTGGAGCGCGCTCGGCTGCGGCAGTGACTTCGCTGTCCGGGTGCGGGTCATGTGCCAGAGAACCTAGCTGTCCCGCACAGCCAGACGATTGACGCTCCGCTCTCGCTTACCTCTACCCCGCCATGGAGTCGTTGGCTTTCCCTCGGCGCCCGGGCCCGGCTGCCTCTGCCACCGCCACCCTGACGGCGGAGCTCGCCCGGCCACTGGCAGACGGGCTCATCAAGTCTCCCAAGCCCCTGATGAAGAAGCAGGCGGTGAAGCGGCATCACCACAAGCACAACCTGCGGCACCGCTACGAGTTCCTGGAGACCCTAGGTAAAGGCACCTACGGGAAGGTGAAGAAGGCGCGGGAGAGCTCAGGGCGCCTGGTAAGTGCCTCTCGCTGCGCTGGCCGTGTGGGTAGGCAGGAGGGCGGGCATGGGGCTGGGCCGCCCGCGGGGAGTGGAGGATGGATCCAGGGACTAGTGCCTTGCTCGGTGGAGTTGGAAGCATGCAGTCTACTTACGCTGAGGTTTGTAGATGGCTGTCGGTGATTGTAGGGACTAAGTTTGTGGACCTGAAAACCTCAACCACACTAGCCTGCATGTCCTTAGAGAAGATGGGACTTAAGTTAAATTTTGCTTGAAACAGACTGTTCAACAGAGTGGAATTGGGAAGAGGAAGAAGAAGGCAACTGATCTTAGCAGGGGTTTGAGAAGTAGGTGTGTGGTTGAGGTGATCATTGAAGTGTGGAGATTCTCCACTCTGATAGTCTGGAGATCTGCACAGGTTAGGGTTGGCACTTAGGCCCTTTCAAGCTCTGCAATTGAGTTAAAATTTAATTATGATGTGTTTTTGATGTTGGGAAATATAACACCAGACTCTGGTGCAAGTTCACAATGTCCCAAGAAGATAGTTTTGTGTTTGTGGCATTTTCAGGAACTCATACTGTTGATTTGGGCTGTGTGTTGGTAGTCATAGTAATTTGTGACCTTGAGCAATTTCCTTTTTCTGTATTCTCAGTTTCCCCTTCTGCAAAAATGGAGAAAACAGGCTGCCTCACAAACTTATAGGAAGATTGAATAAGATAACAAATGATAATTTTTTTCCTAATGCATAGGAAAAAATACAGTAAGAACTGATAGTTGTATCCAGAAAGGCCAGCCCTGTCAAGATGGCAAATGTGTCCAAAATTAGCTAACAATGGTTCTCAAACTTGAGTTTAACATGCATGAAAATCAGCTGAAGTGCTTCTTTAAAATACTTATTCTCTGCTTCCATATTCAGGGGAATTTCTCGTGATGCTCTATAATTTGTATTTTAATAAGCCTTTCAGAGAATATGGTTTAGGAATTGTGAATTTAGTGGGTGCTGCTTGTGAGATGTGTGTGTGTATGTGTGGCCATGGTTTACCTTATTGGCTATGATTGTTTGCTTTTGCAGCCAGTAACTGGCTTGAAATTCAAGAAGTCATTTCATTGGTGAAGGAGAATAGATATTGAAGAAAGGGGTGGATTATGGCCCCATCAATAGGTCCAAGTATGTTTTTCCTGTTAACGCCTGGCACAGTCCCTGGTTGCCCGCTGCCAGGTTACAGCTATTGGGCAATCATGTACTTTCTGGCTTTCCTTTTCTTTCTCTTTCTATACAGAGTGAGGGCCTGGTGAGGCTCCAGGCTTGAGACTGCTGGGCCCAGGCTTTGTCAGGGGCTTAGCTGAAAAACAGTTGCTCGTGGCTTGTGCCCCCTGCCTCTTGTTGGGGGGAAGACTGGGTCTCTGATAGTGGGCAGGTCTAGAAATTGAGAAACTGAGATTGAGATTGAGATTCCATCAGGCTTTGGACTGGAAACACTGTGGGTGTGTGTGTGCGCAAGAGAAAGAGACAGACAGACAGAGACAGACTCACACAGAGAGGAATCTCATTTGATTGCAGAGTGAGATAAACGAGTTTTCAGTTTTCAAACCTCAGTGATTCTAGGCAGGGATTCCAGCTCTTATTGCATCAGCACAGAGAATTCAGAAGAAACTCTTCAGCCTCTTCCCTTTTTCTCTATATGGGGAGCCAAGCTGGGACCTATTCTGGACCTCCCTGACCTATAGACCACCCAGTACAGATGCTGGGAACTTGCTCAGGATCCCCCTCTTTCTTGGGGAACAGCTTTCTGCTGTGCTGGTGATTTCTCCATTCTGGAGCATTGCTATCTCCCCCCCACACTCATCCCTTGCACTTTGTCCTCCCTGAAGAGAGAAGGACCTGATGTCTCAGGATCCTGCAGTGGAGGAGAAGGGCATGGAGCTGCCCTAAAACTTTCCCCCCAGATGAACTGAGATTGTTGATGGGGCCTAGATTCCGAGGAAAGCCTGCTGGGTGGTGACTCCCATCCCTAATTTTTCTTTCTAGCACACTTTCCATTTTCAACCTGCCTAGATGGAATTAGTGGGGGGCCAGATGGGATTGTCCAGAGGGAGGGGCAGGTGGGTGGGACTAATGGCTGCTCCAGGAGGGCATCAGAGGAAAAACAAATATTTGCTCTGGATCTTGGACACATTCCTGGTATCCAAATGACATTTCCTCCTGTGAGTCTCTTAGCTCCCCTGTCGATTCCTTCCCTTAAAGAGAAAAACATTTGCTGGGGTCTTTGGAATAGTGGAGGCCACCAAAGCCTTTGAGTTTATCAATAAGAGGTCATACCCTCCAAAGTTACTGTGAGGAGCACCCAAATGGGTAGCGCTGTGGGATGGGGGTGTTTCTGTCTCCATTATATAATAAATTGCCAAGCAAATCTTCAAAGTGTTTGAAAATTAAGATAATCTGATTCTTTCATTGAAAGATGGGAAAACTAAGGCCCAGAGAGGAAAGTGACTTGTCCTCTGGCTGGTGAGTTGAAGGCCTGCAACAGGCTCTAGGATGGTGTACCCCAGGCCCTAGATGACCCAGTGCTGAGTCTTAGTCTGGAAGTTGGCCTTGAAATGAGCCCAGGCTTGTCTCTGTGCTTTGTCACCCCAGCAGCTAGCTTTTCATGTCTTCCCCAGTGCTCCAGGAAGTGAGTGCTTAGGATAGAAAGTCACTGGGAACCAACCCCCCTTCCCCTACTTGACTATGTTGAGGGATCTTGGGTGGGGAAGCTATGCTACATTCCTGATTTTTAAACCTCATCCAGGAGTCTGCCTAGCTCAGAGTCAAGGCTATAAGGGTTCATATTGTGGTTACATTGCTTATCAGCTGTGGGACCTCTCTACCTCAGTTTCCTAATCTGTGAAGTGGAATTATAATCCAGCCTCATGGGATTCTAGGATTAAATGAGATTGTATATGTGCTTAGCACAGTCTAACACAACACAGTGTGATTGTTCCAGCAAGGCTGGTCCCTACCTTTCCTTTCCTGGAGACCCCTCTATCCGGGGACAGTCCTACCCCAAGAAAGTTTGTGGATTGTGCTCAGCCCTCCTTGAGACACACCACTGTGTTGTCTGCTTTGTTCAAAGCCGGAGTGTCTCCTTCAGCACCAGCTTCAGAAAAGGACTCTGCCTGGCCAGCTGCCAAAGGTTTGTTCAGCCCGACACTGCCCTCCTAGCTCCTCCTGCACCTGCCTGCTCAGCAGCACCGAGGGAAGCTGCAGGCAACTCTTGTTCTTGGGCCCCAGCCAAACCACACAGGAGGGCTGGGCAGGGAAGCTCCTCGCCCAGGAACCTGGCAGAGTGGGCGAGAAGGTGGCAGGGGAATAGTGTAGTATGGGGCTTAGGGGAGGTGGCGCAGACTCCCCTCAGATCCCATTCCTGCTCCCTGCCTGATTCTTAGGCCAGGTTCTGCCTGGTACTGGGGTAGGATAGTGAACCACCCCCAGGTCCATCCCCTCTTCTGAGCCTAGACTGGCCTAGCCCAACTTCTCCTCTGCTATCATCCTTCAGTTCCTTGCCCGCCTCTCAGACAGCTGCTACTCTGTGAAAGGCCAACAAGAAATCAAGGATCTTGGTTCCAGTTCCAGGCGATAACTGTGACCAGAAATGCCCAGCTTGTACCCTCTCTCCAACACCTGGAACAGCATCTCTAAATCATCTCCTCCTCCTCCTCTTCCTCCTCCTCCTCCTCTTCCTTCTCTTCCTCCTCCTCCTCCTTATCTTTCTTCTTCTTTTTTTTCCTAAGAACTATCTACAATCTTATCCTGAGTACATATTATTCCTGATCTGAGTTCCTGGGAGCGAGGCAATGTTTACCAATTGAGCCCAGCATCATGTCCCCAGGGTACCGGCATAGGAGCAGGCATGTTTGAATATCTGTAAGTGGAATAGGGGCACTCGCTATCCAGCCTGGCCCACAGCAAGATGTGGGGCATTCCCTTCCTAGAATGGGAGGCAGAGCTGGCCATCTCCAAGGAACTTGTATCTACTGAAGTGTTAGCCAGGCAACCCTCCATCTTGGATCCTGATTTTGTCTTGATGCACTAAGGAACTTTGGAAAAGGCAATGCAGCCTTCTGGACTTCACTGTTCTCTTTTTGCAAAACTGGATAAAAAATTTGCCCTGCCACCTTTCTAACATGCGAGGCTGCGGGGGCAAGAAAAGCTCTGGGATGAGATCAGCAGGAACAATGCTCAGGCAGGTTAATGTGCCACGGCAGGGAGGCCTGCAGCAGTCCTTGGTCGGCTTCTTCCTGGCCTAGTAACCGATGACCCCTTTCCAAAGTTCTGCTCAAGTGCTAGAATGTGGAAGGGAGCTTCAAGATTCATTCAGATGTGCACACTCATGACTAGCTCCCTTCTTTCTACCTGGAAGGCCCTTGCTGTCCTCTCTAGTCTACCTCCCATGGCCTAGCAAACCTCACCTGTTCCTCACCATCTAAAACAGTTTTCTCCCAGGGGTGGTTTTCCCTGATCCTCCAGGGAAAAGGAAGCTCTCTGCAGTGTTCCTGGAGTCCCCGGCAGGCCGGGACCTCAGCTGCCACATTCATCACACTAGACTGAAGTTAATTTAATTGCCAGTCCTTCCACTGGAGTAGAGACCTTGACACAGGGGTAGCAGGATGAGGATGTCTAATTATTGTCTGACTCCCCAACACCTAGCACAATATACCAAGCACATAGTAGGCATCCAGCAGCTATTTAGAAAATTAATCCTTTATCTGGGCACAGTGGCACACGCCTGTAATCCCAGTGGCTCTGGAGTCTGAAACAGAAAGATTGTGAGTTCAAAGCCGGCCTCAGCAATGGCAAGGTGCTTAGCAACTCAGTGAGAGTTACAAAATAAGGCTGGGGATGTGGTTCAGTGGTTGAGTGCCCCTGAGTTCAATCCCCAGTACCATAATTTAAAAAAAAAAAAAAAGAAAGAAAATTAATCCTTTCATTTTTTTGTATGACATGACATTAAAACTAGCCAGACCAGTTAACCAGATAATCCAAGTGACTTGCCTTGAGTTGCATAGCTCAATGGGACAAATAAGAATTAGACACCGGGCTTTTAAAGTCCACTGGTCAGATATTTACATTTACGTTGTCATCATTGGGGCTGGTTTTCCTTCCCCCTCGCAGTATGGTGGCCATGTACTATATTATCTAAACTTGTATGCTTTGGAGAGTAAAGGGGGCAATATTAAGAGTTATACCAGGGTAAACCAGGAATGTCTTGAGGCACGTAGCCTTCTGATCTCTGGGTGATCCAGTTAACAACCTTTCCTTGGCTTCCGTCAGCTTGTTTTTATTCGAGAACATAGTCGACCAACTATCTTGCAGGTGAGAACAAAGGTCCCTAAAAATTAGTTCTCATAACTGAGATTGACTCCAACCAGGCCTGAGAAGAAGAGGAGAAAATCTTATCTGGGCACTGGTCCTATCAGTCAAAGCTCAATCTGGTGACTTAACCAATAAATATTTATTATGATGATTTGGGTTCACTAGTAAATAATTGTTGAATGCTCTCTGTATGCTGAACTCTGTCTAGGTTTGAGCTGGTGCTGTGTCTAATTTATTTTGAAAGGCTGACCAGTAGATAGCTGGAGGCCTCTCCTTGGGGAACTGGCCCAGGGCAGTGACATAAACTTGCTCTTCTTATCTGTGTTACTTACATGGGGACTAACAGAGGCCTGATGACATACTTGTTTCCTTCGTCTGATCTTCTATGATCTTCTGGGACCTAATGGGGATAACTGGAGGGTCCTCAACCTACTCTCTGAAGCCAGAACCTGAGCTTGGAGGAGGGTGGAACTGTTTATTGAAGATTAATAAATTTAATATAAAGGGCTGGAAGTATGGCGCAGTGATAGGCACTCGCCTAGCATGGCTCCAATTCCCAGCACCAGGAAAAATAATAATAATTCTGGCCAGGGCGTGCCTGTAATTCCAGCAACTCGGGAAGCTGAGGCAGGAGGATCACTAGTTCAAAGCAGCCTCAGCAATTTAGTGAGGCCCTAAGCAAGTCAGAAAGACCCTGTCTCAAAATAAAATAATAAAAAAGGCTGGGGATGTGGCTCAGTGGTTAAGTGCCTCTGGGTTCAATTCCTAGTACCAAAAAAAAAAAAAAGTGATTTAGAATTCCAGGCTTCCAAAGTTGAAAGAGAAGGATCTCAGAGTTCTACTGTGTAGTAGTTACACAGAAACTCCTTCTAGTACAAAATTCCTTTTTTTTTTTTTTTTTAGAATCTCGCTTTTAAGCCTTGTTATCTTTAGAGCTCTGCCCCTAAGCCTAGGATGGTTTATCATACATTTGTGTGTATAAACTGTCAAACATCGGAAATGGGCATAGTCTTTGCATATGTGTACGTCTTGAGCTCTCAAATATTTTCATCTAGCTAGTGATTTGTGTCTCTATGTGATTGTTTTTACAATCTATTTATATATTTCCGTGGGCTTCTGTTTCTGAAGAGTTCACTGCACTTCACCCATTAACTGATTTTAGACACAAAGACTTAGAAACGAACTAGCCCATAAAATCTTTCCTGAAGGGAGAGAAAAGGGGTGTGGAAAGAGAAGTGTGTGGAAATAATGGGTCAAATTCAGGAGAGGTGCCTCCTATCCCCAACCCCCTCCCCGATTTCCAAGCCCAGGGATTTTTCTGTTGGTTCCCTGGGAAGAGGTGGGGGGTTGGAACTAAGGGGGGGCAGCCCTACCCCTGCAGCTGCAGCCTGGGCCTCTCTAGCATCTTGGGGAGGAGGCTCCATGGTGACCATCCATCCCGCCTGCCATTGTCCTCCCTGCACAGGGCAGGGAGGGCCCTTGAGCTGGGCCTCCCCTCTTTCACCCATGCAGCTTCAGGGGAGGAGTGGGGCGGGGGGCACGCCAGCCCTGGCCCGTTGCTGGGGTGACCGGGCCATGGGCTTTGTGAGCAACTCCTCTTACTGGATTAGGGCCGTTCCGCATTCTTGTCCAATGGGGGGGACACAGGCCAACGGGACCCACTGTCCCTGTGAGCAGAAGCCATTGTCTGCCACCGGAGCCTGTGAAAGGGTGGATTAGAGGCCCCTCCCCTCCAGCCAGAGTTTCCTTTTCTCTGTCTCCTTTTGAATCTTGGGGGGGGCAAACCCTCCTGGGAAATTGAATGAGGAGCTGTTTACCTCAGTCTGCGCCTTCAGATCTCTCCTAACCTGCCATGAAGAGGAAGTCTCTGTATTTACCACTGTGTCCCTGGACAGGACTTGCCAGGAACTGATGCCACCCCACCCCACCCCACCCCCACCCAGCCCCAGATGGAGCCTCAGAGGACCTGTGRCTTCTGGACAGCTCACTCCATAGAACCAGAGAGGGAAAGCCCCCCCACACACACACACAGCTAAGTTCAACCTGTTTATCTCAGAAAAGAAAACCAAGGCTTGGAAAGGGAGTGGGACCTTCCCACAGGGACAGGAACCGAACCTGGAGAACCCTGGGTCCCCTGGGTCTCTAGGCAGCATGTGTCACACACACCATGTGCTCTCAGCCAACTTTGCAGTCAGTCACAATGGGGGGGGGGAGCGCATTGTCCAGGAACCTGTGCTGACTGGGATGGTGCAGAGGGAGACACTGACTCCCCGGCTCTACTCAGATGCATCTTGGCAACTTTCTCATTTCTTCTCACCTCCCTCCACCCTTCCTGAACCACCCCACACCAGCCACAGGGGAAAATACCTATATGGGATTTTCACCTTTATGGACAAGATAGAAGTCTTGGAGGACTTTGTCTGGTTGTTTGTTTACTTGTTGCTAGGGAGGGGACATTCTTTACCGAAAGAGACTGGTGTTTGGAGGCTTTTTTCATAGTTTTTTGTTTTTGTTTTAATGTGGTAAATATATAAAATTTGCCATTTTTAACCATTTTATTTTTTTGATACTGGGGACTGAACCCAGGGACACTTAAACACTGAGCCACATCCCCAGCCCTTTTTTATTTTTTTACTTTGAGACAGGGTCTTGSTAATTTTCTTAGAGTCTCCCCAAGTTTCTGAGGCTGACCTCCAACTTGGCGATCCTCTACCACAGCCTCCTGAACGGCTTGGATTACAGGCGTGCACTTTCCATTTAAAATGTACGATTCAATGGCATATTAAGTACATTCACAATATTATAAATCATCATCACTATCCATCTCTAAAACTTTTTCATCATCCCAAACGGAAGCTCTGTACCTATTAAATAATAATTCCCCATTCCACCCTCCACCCCCATGTCCCTGGCAACCTCTGCTCTACTTTGTCTTTATATGTTTGCCTACTCCAAACACTTCGCAGAAGTAGAATCATACACTACTCCTCTATGACTGACTTATTTTACTTAGTGTAATATTCTCAAGGTTCAGCTTGTGTTTTCATTGCATTCCTTTTTATGGCTGMATAGTATTCATTATATATACCACATTTTGCTTATCCATTCATCTACTGATGGACATTTGGGTTGTTTCTACCTTTTGCTATGGATTGGCTGTTTATAGCAAGTTAAAGTGCTGGGGCAGACAGGGATTAACTTGGAGTCAGATGGCCAATAGTCTTACCCTAGTTTGTGCTAGGTAGTGACTGTTTGACTTTGAGCAAGTCATTTAGCTTCTCTGTGTTCCAGTTTCCTCCCCTATGAGTGCGAAGGACAATGCTTTCTAGACCTACTTCCCAGGGTAGTTGTGGGGGCCAATTCATTTTCTAATACGATGAAAAATTATTTGATGCTTCCTGTATGCCAGGCACAGTTCTTGGCATCAGTGATCCAATGGTGAGCAAGAGTTTCTATCTGGGTTCAGTGTAGTGAATTTGCTCTGTAAATCATAAAGCACCAGATTTAGAGATGCAGATTTTGACCTTTCTTGTTCACCTGTAGTCTGAATAAGGAGACCATTGATCTATGCTCCTTCCTGCTGCATGGACCCGAATCTGCTTACACCACACCCAGATAAGGACCTTTTCTAGAGAAGGTACTGTCCAGTCTCTCTGCCACCTACCCTGCTCCAAGGTGGCGTGGCTTCCCTGGATATACCCTGAGGCCTGTGTAACAGCTGCAGGCAGACCTCCAGGGCCACTAGAGCATCCTCAGGGATGCCTCTACCTGCCAGACCTTTCTCTTCAATCTCTTGCCTTCACTGTTCCCAGGTGGCCATCAAGTCAATCCGGAAAGACAAAATTAAAGATGAGCAAGATCTGATGCACATACGCCGGGAGATTGAGATCATGTCATCCCTCAACCACCCCCACATCATCGCCATCCATGAAGGTATAGTACAGGGCACTTGGAGCTGGGAGTCGGGTGTGTGTGAGTGTGTGTGTGTGTGTGTGTGTTTGTGTGTGTGTAGGAGGAGTCAGAACTGATGATGCAAAGAAGTAAAAATGGTATGGGCTCTAGAGCCAGACAAAAGCTGGATTTGAAACCCAGATGTATGATTTAGGGCAATTCATTTTGCCTAGTGTCTGGGCCTCAGTTCCTCCCTATAAGATGGGATATTCCATCTGCATTATAGAGTGTAAAGATCCAACTGGATAATGTCAGCAAGTGCTCTGCTCTTGAGAGGTACTCAAGGAATTGCAGGTCTGTCGGTGTTGCTGTAAGGTTCTCCCTGCTTGAACACTACCTACCCAGCCCAGCCAAATCCTTAGCAATCCGGGGGAGGCTGAAACACACCTAGACCTGCACCTGTCCAGGAGCGTGGGTGCTGTTCTTCAGGTGTCTCAAGAGCCAGGCCTCCTAGWGTCTGACCTGTGCTGCTGAATCACCCCTGCCACGGGGCTGGCTCCTACCTCCCCTTGTCTCTCAGCCTCCTCTCCTCTGACATCAGTGCTGCCCTCCTCCCTGTGACCCAGACAACAAAGTGACCAAGAAAAGAGGAAAGAGGGGGAGCACCCTCCCACACATGCCTGTCTGCTTCGAGCCTTTATGTAATATCAGTTAGATGGGAAACCAGGGGTAACAGCAGCAGCAGGTGGGAGGAAAGGGAGCCCATGTTCCGCCCTCTGTCTGAAGATTCCTGGTGGGAAAAAATAGAGAAGTCTCCATTCTCAGGTTCATAGGAAGACATGGGACTGGGGCCTGAGCCTGTTCCATGAAGAGCCCAGGCAAGTGGTAGAGAGGGCTAATTGTATCTTGGTGTACTTCCCCAAGGGAAGAGTGGGCAGACTACAAAGCATTGGTTAAGCTAGACTGAGCTTGGTGATTGGGCACTGTGTGTGTGTGTGTGTGTGTGTGTGTGTGTGTGTGTAAGCACACGTGCATATGTGTTCTCCCCACTATCCATATCTCCAGCTGCGTCTGGGAACTGAGCTCTGAAGCTCAGGGTGTGGCCTCTCCTGCATCTGCAGATGCAGCAGACACAAGGGCATCGCAGTTGCTGAGTGACAGAAGGGCTCCTCCAGATTCCGATTCATCCCCACCCAGCTTCAGGCTTCAGGGTTGGAAGGAAGCTCCAGTTTGGGAACCTGACCTCTAACCTAGCTACCCTCCAAAATGTGCTCTGACTTAGCTTTTTTTTTTTTTTTTTGTACCAGGAGTTGAACCCAGAGGCATTTAACCACTAAGCCACATCCCCAGACCTTTTTAATTTGTATTTTGAGGTAGGATCTTGCTAAGTTGCCTAGGGCCTCACTAAGTTGCTGAGGCTGGCTTGGAACTCATGATCCTCCTGCCTCAGCCTCCTGAGCTGCTGGGATGACAGGCCCACACCACCATGCCCAGCTTCTGGCTGGCTCTTGATCTCTGATTTCATGGCACAAAGCTTACACCTGCCAAGATAAGGAAAACCCCAGGAGTACAGTCCCAGCCAGGTACCTTCTAGGAAGCTGAGCCACCATGTTCCCCTGGAAAAAAGCATAGTCTTCCTGGCCTTGTATCCAGTGGCCTGGGAGCTGGGACTCCTTAGGAGAAGCCTCGTCCCTCAGCTCCTTCTCAGAGGCTAGACAGCAATAATAGTTCTGGGTCTGGCCACGCAAGCCAAACTCATAAGACTCATTTGACACAAAGATGCAATGTCAACCTTACGTCCATGTGTGGTGGTGCCTGTGTGAAATCCAGCTACTCAGGAGGATCACAAGCTTGAGGCTCAGCAACCTAGCAAGACCCTGTCTCAAAATAAAAAATGAAAAAGACTGGGTATATGGCTCAGAAATAGAGAACCTCAGGGTTTAGTCACCTGTCTTTAAAAAAAAAAAAATACCAGGACAAGGCCCAATTGATGGCAAGATGATTCCTGCTATATACACATGGAGATGGGCCAGCTGGGGTAGGCTGACTGCCAGGAGGCCAGCCAGTCAATTAATTACCACATATTTATTGATTGCTTCTCTGTATGAGGCATTATGCACGAAAGCCTGGCCTGAATATTCTGGATGAGAAGTCAAAGGTGGTGGGAGGGATGAATGTCTTCATTCTCCACCATATTGTATCGTTTCATATACTTTCATCCCTCTTCTGATCCTCAACGTGGCATTGTTATTGGCATTATTTTTCAAATTTATGCATGAGGGGCTGGTGATATAACTCTGTGGTAGAGCACTTACCCTGCATGCACAGGGTCCTGGTTTCAGTCCCCATCACTGCAAAAATAAAATAAAATAAAATTTAAAAATTAAAATTAGGCATGAGGAGGGCTGGGGTTGTGGCTCAGCGGTAGAGTGCCTGTAGGCATGAGGCCCTGGGTTCGATCCCCAGCACCACATCAAACAAATAAAACAAAACAACAACCTAAAAACAAAACAAAACAACAAAATTATGCATGAGGAYGCTGAGTATAAATATAATAAGAGTAAGTACCATTTCTGTAGTTCATGCTTTGGTGTTGGACTCTCTGCCAGCCGGGTCAGTCAGACTTGGAGAGTCAGTGATATTTATGTTTCTTGGTCCTGTGAGATCACCATTATTATCCCACTTTTCATATGAGGAAACTGAGGAACAATGGTTGGTTGACTTGTCTAAGATCACCCATCCAACTGCATTCTTATTGAAGTATCCAGAAGAGCTTTGACCAAAGTCACAAGGTAGAAAATATCAGATTTGGAGCCAATAAACTTGGCCTTTCATTCTCATCCAGCAAGGGCTCTGCCTTYCTGGGGGGCTTTTCAGAATCCTCAAAAGCCTGAACTTAGGGTAAGGCCCTTTCCCTTCTTCACTTGCTGTACCAAGAAGACGCTGAGTGCTTCAAAGGCCTTTCCCTGCCTTTACCCGCAGCCCTGGGCCCCCATTAGCAGATACCCTAAAAGAAGGCACCATCTGGTTCAGGGCCAGGGAGGGATTGTGGCCCCTGGTGGGACGCAGTGCACTCTGGGAGGGCCTGACATCTCCACCTTGCTCTGCCCAGTATTTGAGAACAGCAGCAGGATCGTGATTGTCATGGAATACGCCAGCCGAGGTGACCTGTATGACTACATTAGTGAGCGGCAGCGGCTGAGTGAGCGGGATGCCCGGCATTTCTTCCGGCAGATTGTGTCTGCCGTGCACTACTGCCACCAGGTGAGCGCCACCTGCCCTGACCATGCCCCAAAGGGGTGGTCCCTGGGGCTCTGGATCTGGACAGACCAGAGAGATTTCCATGGCACGTCCAGGATCACATGGGTTTAACAGCAGGGACTCTGGACTCTCGGATGAGGGAATGTTGGTGTCTGGCTTTGAGTCCTCTTGGTCAGGGATGGAGGGAAGGGTCTGTGATATCTTGTACCATATGGCAATCAAAAGGAGCACCCCGCCTACCMGTGCTTGGCTTCCTTTGTGTTTACTGTGCATTCCAGATTAGGCCCCTGTCCCTTTCCCTTCCTTGGTGACCTTGCCCTAACTCAGCTCCTTCCTCCTTCAGAATGGGATCGTCCACCGGGATCTCAAGCTGGAGAATATTCTGTTAGATGCCAATGGAAATATCAAGGTGAGCCTCACTTCTTGTTTCCACACAATTCAACCTGCAATTAGCTAGCTCTTTGGCACCTTTCCCCGTCAACCAAGCACCTCAGYGCCAACTTCCTGTTTCCAGCTGCTGCTAGATCTCTATGCCAAAGTAGTTAAATTTAGATGAGACAGGAGAAGTTCATATTGATAGGATAAACTCAGACCTCAGGACTGGAAAGGGGAGACTGAGGCAGGGAGACCAGCCCAATAGGCTCCAGGGAGAGTGACCTCTGCAGTACTTCCTGATCCAGGGCTTAGTCTCCTCCAGGAGTTCCTGACCTGTGCCCTGAAGTGCCCTGGTGCTGAGTCCATTCCCCTTAACCAGCCAATTCCTGGAGAAGGTGGGGCTTTCTTTGATGCTGACCAAAGGGAGGGAAGCCAGAGGCAGTAARTTCACATAATCTGGACAGGCACGTACTTTCCTATCTGTACCAATAATATGCCTCGTTATGGGCTTCACCTGGTAACTGTTTGATAAGAGGCCAATAAAACCATAAACAAAGGAGCCAGGTTTTCATAAACAGGCCCTCTCCACCCTGGGCACACATGACCCTCTGATGGGGTGAAGAGTTAGGAACAGCAGGGCATTGACCTCTGCCCCTAGTTGATGTTATCTGGGAGGGGGTCTCTAGARAGTGAGAGGAAGAGTTTGGGTCCTCTCCAGCCTCCAGGTTGGTTGGCTTAGGAAGTCCTACAAGAAGATTCTTTCTCCTGGAATAATACCACAGCTCTGATCTTTGCTCTACTCTTACCATTGACCTCTAGTTATCTTGAGCTGACCTCAGATTCCTGCCCAGGTATGGGCAGAGAGGCCAGCCCTTGATGGGAAGGGCAACTCAGGTCTTCCGTGATCAATTGGTAAGGGGCCTTGCTTGCCTCGGAGGGCTCTTCAATGGCCTAAGAAGCTGGGCCTCCCTCTCCATCTGGCTGACCCTCCTTATAGTCAGTAAGTGCTCATTGAGCATCACGAGGGTCTCACTTGTACTAGGAGCCACAGGTAAAGATAAGGAGATCAGCATGGGGGTCTTCCCTCTGACTTGGTGGGAGAACGGATGAACAAGGTTTGCAGGGAGCCATTGGAAACTGGGGCTTCCTAGGGGAGGATCCGAGGCCACAGAAGCCTTCCCCGGAGAGGGGTCCAGAATCAGGAGGATGCCCAGGCAGAAGAGGGCATCCCTGATGTGGAACACAGCCCAAGCAAAGCCACCTGGGGAACACTGAGTGTCCTGGAGCCCCACATACCTCTGCCTAGGTGCTCTTTATGGACACAGATGCTCAGGGCCTGAGCTGTGTTGACTGTGCCCAGTGTGAGGCAAGAATCAAGGGACCCTTTCCTTCTGCTGTGGCCCGGGTTTCCTCAGGGCCTGGACAGATGCCAGCTGAGAGCTGCAGAGCAACATAGGCCTTAGCATGACCCATGTCCAATGTTTGACCTAACCCTGCAGATCGCTGACTTTGGCCTGTCCAACCTCTACCACCAAGGCAAGTTCCTGCAGACATTCTGTGGGAGCCCCCTCTATGCCTCACCTGAGATCGTCAACGGGAAGCCCTACATGGGCCCAGAGGTAAGTGACGCCTCCTCCGMCCATCCTCCTGTCATTTACACTGACTTTCCATCCTGTGGGATAGATGGGCTAGTGTTCTAGTTCTGTGCCCCCTCATCTTCCTCGTTTCTGTTACTTTGTTACCTTCTGGCACCCAATCCAGCCTCCCTGGAGTGACCTGGTGCCCCACCCTRACCCAGAAGGGATGGTCTGACCACTGCTCCCAAGAATGGTGATTGACACCACTCTCCCTATGAGCCTCAGCCCCTTCTTCAGCATCCTCCCTATCTCCCCAGGTCCAAGAAAGGTCATCCTCAGGTCATCCAAGTTCTCTAGTATGTACCCTTTTCCTCTCTGGTACTGGGAGTGAGGCTCATGGTCCTCTGGCCAGTGGCATGCCTACATCCTTGCTGATTTCCCCCTCTCTCAGGTGGACAGCTGGTCCCTGGGTGTCCTCCTCTACATCCTGGTGCATGGCACCATGCCCTTTGATGGGCAGGATCACAAGACGCTGGTGAAGCAGATCAGCAACGGGGCCTATCGGGAGCCGCCTCAGCCCTCTGGTGAGTGAGAGCCATAGGTGTTCTAACGCAGGCTCGGGTGTGCATCACCCAGTCCTGAGGCAGGGATTGAACATCGGCACTGATGTAAAGAGACCCAACATCCATCATGACCCATGGTAGATTCCGGTGACCTGCGTTGTCTCTGCAGTGTCTAAGGCCTCTGAGGAAGGAAGGGATAGTTTTTCCTTCCTTGTTGAATGATTGATCATAACTTGGGAAGTCCTTCTAGGTCCAACTTCAATCCTCTTTGCTACAGTTGTCTCATATCTTGTTGCTTTTGTCCTCATCTTCAGAAATCTATCCTTGTGCATAGGGTGTAGAGGCAGGAAGAAGTATCTGAGAGCCCTAGCTTACCTTTGAGCACAGTCCTTAAGCTCAGACAGTTGAATTTCAGTGGAAAGAAGAAAAAGACACACTAACACACACAAACAAGGGCTGGCGAGGGGAGAGGCAACAGGCAGAAATCATCRGGGAAGCTGGCCTAGGGAGCATCATGGCCTAGGGTGTGTATGGGGTCCTCGGTGGGAATGTGCGGATCTGGCCTAGGTATAAGCCATGTCTGAGCACCAATGGGGGCAAGCAGAGGGGAGCTGTGAGGTGGCTATCTCAGCTGCCAAACCCAAACCTCTTGTCTTTTATCCCTCAGATGCCTGCGGCCTGATCCGGTGGCTGTTAATGGTGAACCCTCTCCGCCGAGCTACCCTGGAGGATGTGGCCAGTCACTGGTGGGTCAACTGGGGCTATGCCACCCGAGTGGGGGARCAGGAGGCACTGCGTGAAGGTGGGCACACAAGCAGCGACTCCGCCCGGGCCTCCATGGCTGACTGGCTCCGCCGATCCTCCCGCCCCTTCCTGGAGAATGGGGCCAAGGTGTGCAGCTTCTTCAAGCAGCACGCGCCTGGCGGCAGCGCCACACCAAGCCTGGAACGCCAGCATTCACTCAAGAAGTCCCGCAAGGAGAATGACATGGCCCAGTCTCTCCAGGGGGACCCTGCCGATGACACTTCCCCTCGCCCAGGCAAGAGCAACCTCAAGCTGCCCAAGGGCATTCTCAAGAAGAAGGCGTCGGCCTCAGAGGGGGCCAGGGAGGACCCTCAGGAGTTCAGCTCAGTGGCGGATGGCCCAGGGCACGTGGCGCCCCTGCTCCCCAGGAGGGGCATCCTCAAGAAGCCTCGGCAGCGTGAGTCTGGCTAYTACTCCTCCCCAGAGCCCAGTGAGTCTGGAGAGCTCTTGGATGCAGGTGATGTGTTCATGAGTGGGGACCCCGTGGAGCCMAAGTCCTCTGAAACCTCAGGGCTGCTCCTCCATCGCAAGGGCATCCTCAAACTCAAYGGCAAGTTCTCCCGCACGGAACTGAAGCCCCCCACTGCCTTTGGCTCTCTGGATGAACTGGCCGCCCCTCCACCGCCAGCCCGGGCCAGCCGCCCCTTGGGTGCTGTGAGTGAAGACAGCATCCTGTCCTCTGAGTCTTTTGACCAACTAGACCTGCCTGATCGACTCCCTGAGCCCCCGCTGCGGGGATGTGTGTCTGTGGACAACCTCATGGGACTTGAGCAGCCTTGCTCAGAGGGGCCTGGCAGCTGCCTGAGGCGCTGGCGGCAGGACTCCTTGGGYGATAGCTGCTTTTCCCTGTCAGACTGCCAGGAGGTGACACAGACCTACCCACAGTCACTGGGGGTCTGCTCAAAGCTCAGCTGAGGGGCAGTGTGCATTGCCCCAGCCCGGGCAGGCGCTGAGATACAACTGGCTGCACCCTGAGCAGGGAGYGCCTTCTCCCTGCCTCCCAGGGCCAGCACCCCAGCTCAGAAGACTGAGGTGGTTGGGAGGGCTAGAGGGGAGAAGTGGGCACAGGAATGCATCAAGAGTTCATTGTCTTCTGCCCCATGATCCTGGAAAATAATAGCCAGGGAAGAGTAGAGAAGCAGAGAGGGAAGGACTGAGACSGAGTCTGGGTTACCTGCATCTTGTGCCCGTGATGGGGCTGCAGACACCTGGAAAGAGTCCTTCAACAGCTTCTGTCCTCTTCGTTGCCATGAGGAAGCTTGAGGTGTGGTGCCTTTCACCTGTCAAGGTGGGGACGGACCATCCTCACACAAGTTTGAATCCCCATCGACCTCTGGGGCTAGAATGTGGTACCTCTAAAGTACCCGGGGCATCCTGGGAGTGATCTGGAGTAACCCTCCCTTATTTATCTAGGAGTAAGAGAACACAGCCTCTGTTTCCTAAATGGTTCCTCAAAGGTTCTCTTCCCTTTTCCATCCTCCAAACCTGGCCTGAGCCTCCCAGAGTCGCTGCTATGAATCTTAAAAGACTTGAAAAGGCTCAGGCCACTGCTTAACTTCATCTCAAGGGGCCCAGACTCCTCTGGACCCCACCTGAGACCTCASAGACTGGAACTTCTTCCTCCAAGCTGCTCTGGAAGTCTAGGTTATGGGTGCCTCTGTTTCTCTGGACTTTCGGAACCTAGAATGTCCTTATTTATTTTTCTGTTCTCAACTCTGTTGTTTTTTTTTTTTTTAAGTGAATTTTGCTTTTTACAATAATGTGAATGCCATGTTCTGGGGAAATCCATCATGCCATCTAAACTTCCGGTACTGAGAGGTGTGTTTGCAATGATGCCCCACAGATCAGGGGAGGGGGTCCTTTGATACACCCACATGTTCTGTTGCTTGCACYGTCTGGAGATGAGTCCCTTCACTCCACACCCCATGCTGTCTCCCCTCCTCTGTGGCCAGGAAAAAACACTCCATTAAAACCAAGATGATGAATGAAAAACAGCCCCTGTTGTTCTTTTGGGGGACATGGGGGTGAGGAACAGGTCTCCCAGCCTTCTCTTAATACAAGTACTCCCTGGGTTGCGAGGGGTGGGACATAGAGAAACTGCTTGATCCAAACAGAACCAARGGCTGGGGGTGTGACTCAGTGTCCCAGTACTTGCCTTGGCATGCACACAAGATCCTCAGCACCACAAAATAATGATAATAATAAACAGAATAGCTGGGTGTGGTGACACACATGCCTATAATCCCAGCAGCTCAGGAGGCTAAGGCAGGAGGATCAAGAGTTCAAAGCCAAYCTCAGCAAAAGCAAGGCGCTAAGCAACTCAGTGAGAGCCTGTCTCTAAATAAAATACAAAATAGGGCTGGGGATGTGGCTCTGTGGTCCAGTGCCCCTGAGTTCAATCTCTGGTACAAAAAAAAAAAATAAATAAATAAATAACTCCCAGGCTTTAAGCTTCCCAAATCTCCGGTACTTCTGCACCAGCAGCTCTGGCCCCACTCTATTAACAAAGTGGGAAAGCCCTGGGCTGGAACTCCCAGAGTGCTCTTCCCACCTGCAGTTCTAAAGGAAGAACTGGTCTGCAGATTACCCAGCCCCACCCCCACCCTCTCTCCGCCTTCTCCCGCCCCTCTCCCATCTGCTTGACACCCTGCCCCCTGCTGCTTCAAGACACCACCACACACTCTATTTTCTCTCCTTCCAAAGAAATCCCCTTTCCTCCAGTGCAGGGCAGCTTCTCCTCCCTCCGCCCCCACCCCAGACTCCTGGAGGAAGTAAAGAATGCCTGGAATGTCCACCCCCCACAGGCCGGGCCCCCCTACCCCCTGCAGAGCATTCCCTGCACGCCTGCTCCATTGAGAAACTCCCGGGCTCTAAGAACTGGGGATGAAAGGGAGGATGAGGACAAAGGGCAGGCTGGCTGCTGGCTGGCTCTGGCTCTAAGCCGGCCCCCTTCCCTGACCTGTTTGGGYATTCACAGCCCCCAAATATCCCCAGTTCTGGCCAGTTCCAGCTCCCGGGTCCACCCCCACCTGTCCCTGGCAGGGGCTGCTGTCTAGKGCAGAGTCTCCGAGCTTCATTCTCTATACCTGGAAGGCTGGGAAGGTCACTGAGTCTGGGGAAGAGAGAGCAGGCAAGGATGGATGGGCTCAAGACACAAACAAGARATTGCTTGGGTGACGGCTGGGCTATTTAGCTGTGAAATCTCTATAGAGGTCCATCCTACTGAGTACTGGAACTCTGGGCTAGGCTCTGGGTAAACACTGGAAAAATACAKGGGTGGATCTTGACCCTGAAGAAGCATAGCGTTCTGCGGTGGTGTTAGCAGTGTGCATTTATTTACTCCACTCAAGCTGTGCTGTGCACCAAGCTCTGTGGAAGACAGGTGCCTGCTGCCTCGCTAGTGCAACAATTAAAGACCTCAGCCTGGAGGAGTTTGCAGACTGGAGGGCAAGGTAGCACAATAAGTTAAACTCAGTGAGGAACTGTCCAGATTATGCTGAAGTGGAGTTCAGTTGAGGGAAAGAAGAATTGCATCTTGGGAGATAATAGGGGCTACTGTATATTAAATGCTTACATATCAGGCATATTATCTGTGTGGCCTCATTTCATGTACACGTAGCCTTGTTGCAGTCTTCTCGGTGTGCTACAATTTTTATCATTCTCTGTTTACGGAAGAAACGGAGACTTAAAAGCATTCAATAACTTGCCTAGCTAGCAAGTGGGAAAACCAGATCTCAAGCTCAGATCTGTGAGATGCCAAGTCTGTGGGTAGAGAGGCTCATCAGAACAGGACTGGATTTGGAAAATTGAGTAAAAGTAGTGAATGGAAAAATATTTATTGAGCATCTATTACATGCCAAGCTCTTTGCCAGGAATAAGGAAAGTAGCAATTCCCTCTACTGGAAACGCCCTCCCCTGGTCTCCACAAGCCCAGAGAAGGAGCTAGGAAAGGAGGGCCGGGGGACAGGGAGAAGCTAAAGAGGAGGGCAGGAAGAAAAGAAGAAGTCACAGAGCAGGAAGGTCCTATACCTGGTGGTAAACCATGTTTTGGGATGAAGGGGATGGAGAAGACACAGCCCTGAAAAATCCTTTCCATCAGCACTRTCTCAGCAGGTCCTGGGGGAGATTGGGAGTCTGGGGGATAGAAAGGCCAGGCAAAGGGGTTTGGTCCCAAGATCTTGGTCTGTTTGCTTAACCTCCTGGAAGCCAGGGCAGGGCTGCAGGGTAGGTGGGATGAGTGGGGTACCTGTGGGAGAAGCCTGCTGGCTAGGGAGAATCTGGGTGGAAAAGGAGTATCTCTCTGATCTCCACTCCAAAGAGGCCTAGATTTGGGGGCCTGGGTCCCATCTGCAAGGCCCTTTCCCTCACCTGCCAGGATACTTCATACCAAAAACATTCCAGAAAGCAGGCTCAGCTCACAATGACGCTGGGCCCCCCTGGGGGAGAAGGCCCCGGACTGCGGGAATATTTAGTGCCACATCAGCGCTTCGGGAATGTGAAAAACCCAGACAACCATGGGGGAGGGCAACTTTGGGAGATAGGAGAGGCCTTCTGAACTCTCCCTGTTCTCAGCCCTTTCCAGAGGCAAGACCAAACTGTCCTTGAGTGGAAACCCCCTCACTAGGGAGTGTCCAGGCTTCTCCGGGTGGAAGGAGTGAACTCTGGTGACATGCTAGTATGTCCCCACTATCAAGATGGCCCCTTGAGTTTTCCCTCTGCCCCATCCAGCCCGCTGGGTTTCTAAAGCAGAAGTGGGTGGAAGGTGGGAACCAGAACACAGATGACAGGGGTGGATTTCTGGAAAAGGGTACAGGCCCTGGCTTGGAGCAAAACCAATGCAGAGGCCTCTGGGACTCAGGATTCTGCTTGATAAGCAATCGTCTACATACAGTGTTCATTCGTTCATTCCCTAACTATTTGTTTGCTGAGGGCTTGCAGCATAGTATCCAAACTCTAGAGATATGTTTGGGAACAAAACTGACAAAAATCTCTACTTTCACTGGGCTTCCATTCCAGTGGAAGAAAATAAACAAAACAATAAGTATACTAAAGAAGCCGAGCCCAGGGGCGCACGCCTGTAATCCCAGCAGCTCAGGAGGCTGAAGCAGGAGGATCTTGAGTTCAAAGCTAGCCTCAGCAATTTAGGGAGACAGTAAGCAACTCAGTGAGCCCTATCTCTAATAAAATACAAAATAGGGCTGGGAATGTGGCTCAGTAGTCTAGYGTCCCTGAGTTCAATCCCTGGTACCCAATAAATAAATAAATACTAAAGAAATAAAGCGGTAGTGCACGCCTTTAATCCCAGCTACCCAGGAGGCTGAGGCAGGAGGATGGCAAGTTCGAGGCCAGCTTGGGTAACTTAGTGAGACTCTTTCTCAAAATGAAAAATAAGGGTCTGGGTTGTAGCTCAGTGGTAGAGCGCTTGCCTAGCATGTGTGAGGAGACACTGGGTTCGATTCTCAGCATCACATATAAATAAACAAAATAAAAGTGGGGACAATGAAAAAAAATTTTTTTAAATAAAAAATAAAATGGGCTGAGATTAAAAAATAAAAAGCTTACTAGCATAGTACTTGCCTATCATTCATGAAGCCTGGAGCTCAATCCCCAGTGCTATAATATGAGACAAGAAAAAGCAAAAATGAAGTAAATTAAATAGTATATTAAAAGGTCCTAAGTGTTGGGAAAAATACTAAAGAATAGGGTGGGGCACAAGGATGAAGAGGACAGGGAAAAATATTTCTAGCCAARGTGGCTATCTTGGGGGAACAGTGTGTCAGGTGGAGGAACAGCCATTGTGAAGGTCTTAAGGCAGGAGCAGGTTAGGCAAGTTCTAGAACAACCAGTGAGGCTGCAGCAGGGTAAATGAGCGAGGAACAGGAGATGGAGTCAGGAGAGGTAACTAGGTTGAGAAAAATAGATTGTGTGGGTTTTTGTGAGCCATTATAGAACCATGGCTTTTATTCTGAGTGAAATGGGGTGCCACTGGTAAATTTTGATCAAAGCATATGATCTTAGATTTTTTTTTTTTAAATCTGCCCTAACTACTTGTTGGGGACAGAGTGGGAGGCTCACAGTTGGAAGCAAGGAGACCCAGTAGGAGGCCAATTCTGGAACAGGTGGTGGGTCTTGGACTAGAGTCCTAGCCATAAAGAAATTAGTACTCACATTTGGGAACATATCTTGAAGTGGGGATCCAACAAACAGGCTTTCCTGMTAGGTTGGATATGGGTTGTGAAAGACACAGAGGAAGCAAGAACAGCTCCGTGGTCTTTGGCCTGAAGAACCTGAAGGATGGCGCTTGCATTTGCTGGGGAGGAGGCGGCTTGCAGGTTGAGGTGTAGGGTAAACCCCTGGGCCCTGGAGACAGTGAGACCTCCCAGAGCAGATAAGTGGTAGAAGGAGACTGGAGTCTAAGAAAACATTTGGGTAGAGATAGAGATCTGGGAGTCTTGCCAGAAGGAGTTTCTGGTTTGGGCMGAAAGTTGGACTAGTTGATCTCTGGTGTCCCTTCCTGCTTTTTAAGATCCTGGAATTGCTTTGAACAGGAGAGCCTTTTTTTTTTTTTTCCAAAGCTGATGGGTCGCTCAGAAAAGCTTGTCTGATATGATGATGGGGGAGGTGGGCGGTCCTAGCCTGGGGAGGCATATTTTACTAGGTTGGGACCTGCTTCCTCCTCCTGATAAAGTTCAAGGGGCTTTCTTTTTAAGGACAGAAAGAGATATTGGGGGGGGGGGGAATGATCCCTCATACAATCTACCTTTCCTGAGGCTCAATGTCCCTAACTCTACTTGAAGGGATTACCCTCCAGCTCTGAAATTCTATGGTTACGTACCTTCAGAGGCATTTGCAGATTTCATAAGAACGTTAGAAATGTC